ATATATATAGTGCTAAGGTTAGTAGTATGGTAACAAAAATGTTGGGAGGTAGCATGCCTAGAAAAATACAAATTGGAGGTATCTATAATTTTAGAAAAAAATTTATAAAAGGGTGAGGCTTTAAACAATCAAATTAAAACGCACCTCAAATTTTACTATAAAAGGTTGTTTCAATGCCCAAAAATCCTTAAAGCAATCATCTCGACCTCAAGATGTATGAACATGAGAAAAAATAGATTCCAAGTATTGAAAATAGTACATCCTATAATGCATTTTCTAGATCGTCAATTTTCAAGATTATCAAGTGTCCATAGATCTGCTCGATTTATACTATTTTTATAGCTTTAAAATTTATAATTAGAGATGAAAATAAATTTTCAGGCCACCACAAAATTTCCACTGCTAAAATAATATCTATCAATACTATTTTGAGGTGCACTTTACTTGGATTGTTTTGGGCCTTGGCCTTATACAAACCATACTCATAATTTTCCTTTATTTTTATTGGAAATCATTCAATCACGTTTGTTAGAGAACCGTATTCAGAATGTACTTAAAATGCACGAGGTCTCATGAGTTGCGTGTAAATATTACTACAGAGTAATATCGGCATGCACCATATCTCGTGAATAGACGATGCAGATTAACGCAAAGGAATGTTCACTCATTAATCTCCACCGTCCTTCATCAGGAACTGACGATGGATAGCCTAGTAGTACGATGTGCATGTATACAGCAGTGAGCGGTGTACTGTATGCTTGAGTCTTACTGTTCACACTGCAGCCAACGATATCCGCTAGAGATTGGGTATCGACGCGAAATTTCGGAGGATATTCACTGAAATATGACCCCATGGCGACGAAATTTTGGAAGATATTCAATTCACTGAAACATAAACCCATGGCGACCCGGGTACTCCGGCCCAAAGTCCAAAGCGGGAAGGCGAGGTATAAGCCGTTTGGGCTATGGAGCGCGGCCACTGCAACTGCAGTGAATTGATTTAGATTTTAGAGAGAGAGAGAGGAAAGGAGTGATCGATTGACATTTTAGAGAGAGAGAAGAGAGGAATGCTTCTTCGTGTCTCAGAGGATGGGAGCAAGAGGCGTCATGGCTTCTTGGACAATTACAGGCAGCTTCACCAAGCTCTTCTTGATCTGCAGAGAGCTGCAGATCATATATTTGACACTGTGATTCAAAGAGTATCTCCAGTCTCCCTAGAGAGAGATGTTGGATTTTGGATTTCAGTTTGGAGAGAAGTTTAAATTTTTGATTTCTGTTTTGGTTTCATCAGGGGCTTGAAGCCATTTCTCTGATTTCAAATGATATTCAGATGTAATTAGGGCTGAATTGCAATTAACAACCTGAGAAGAAAATGTATTAAAAATGGTAATCTGATGAATTAGGGATCCCTTTAGTTCAGCAAGAGAGTGAGAAAATGAATTTGTCAAATATTGGATTTAAAGATTGAAGCTTCGCCTCTAATTAGCTACCTTGTTTTATTTTGTGGAATATTGATTTTAAAGATGAAGCTGCAGGGTTAATTCTTATTCTGGATTATAACTGAAATTGCATTCAACTGATTTAACTAGTTTGAGTATGATTCTTAGCTGTTGCTCTCAATTACAGATTATTCAGATGAAAAAATGTGATTTCGGAATTTAGTGTTCAACATTTTTTTCTTTCACGACCCAGAATTAAATTGCTCTTCTTTTCGTCATTGCAGACTGAAAAGGAGCAGCAAAAATTAAATGCTGTTTTGCAGAGAATTGACAATGCTAAGGTATTATCCTGCTATGATTTTCCTTTTCTTTCCTCCCCGTAACTATCTGAGTAATGATTAGTTAATAAGTTTATTAATGGTTTTCTTTCATCTTTTTGTCCTTGTTATTCTAGTTTAAAAGGACGGCATTTTACTTGTAATTCTGCCCTTAATTTGCCCTTTTGACTTGTATAAACTATAAAATACTTAAATTTCCTTTTGTTCGTTTTATTTTTGTGTGATGTCAAAAAATAATCTAGTTTATATTTTGCATTTGGAATTATCACTATATTGCCAAATTTTCGAAATTTCTTGGTGCATTTGGACCTGAAATGGTAAATACCCAACGTTGTAGTTTTCCTTAGCATCACTTGGATACTACTAGTACATGCTATCATTCAAGTTATGTAGTACTAATTTTCTTTGATTAATATATCCTTTGTTGAACTTTTATCTCAATTGATTTTCACGTTGTACGAATTTATGAAGTTATACAGCCATTTGTATGAGTGCAGTGAAGTGTTATTTTGCCATTTACAAGTGCAGTTTTTATGTTTCATTGGCTTTTCTCGTTTCTTTTCAAGTTTTATTTTGATGAATGGACGCTAAAATCTGTGAAATGTCCTGCAAGCTGGCACTATTTATTTGAAAAAGTAGTCATTAATTGCTTATTCATTTTTACTGTATAATCTTATTTTCGGTGAATATTTTGTAATTTTTGTAACTTGATAGATCAAGATTGATGCTTTATCACATACAAAGAGAGCAGCTACTGTGAGATCTAGTTCAAGTTATCCCTTTGTAGGCGAGGAGGATTTTAAGCCTTTGTTTGGATGCACAGATGGTACTAATGACTTAGAATTTCCTATAGCGAAGTTGCTATTGAATGGAGGTTTGAATAAGGTATTTTTTTTTTGTAATTCTACTTCTAGTTTATCCCTTTGATGTTTCTCATCTAGTATATCTAGTTTGAATAAGGTATTTTTTTTTGTAATTCTATATCCCTTTGATGTTTTCACATCACTTCTAAAATCCAAGAGAACTCACATATTATGACTGTCATGGAAGGATTTAGGGGAAGATGGCACACTTGAGCTTTTTCAGTTTTTCTCGGAGACAACATCTGAACATATCCCAAAGGAGGTGAAGTCAAAGGTTAGAGTGAAAGTGACGATATCTCTTGATCATTTCCTGTTCAAATTATGGCTCTTTGATTGCTTTTAATTTTATTTATTTATTACAGTTAACATTTTAAAAAAAATTATTTATTTTCACTCTCTTCTCAATATACCAAAACTATGATTTTGAGAGGAACTTAAACCTTTTATGTTTCACATGGAATAGATAAAGGCTGCACTTACTTTATGACTTTCCCCTCTTATCTCTTCTAGCTTCATTAAGTGCATGATAGCTACTCTCATTGGATAATGAAATCTCTACTCATTGATATGCGAGTACTTTTTTGGCTTAACACAAATAGCACCAAAGTTTCATTTGCATAAGGAGCCCAAGATGATTTCTGTTTTGGTTTAGCTTATATTGTACTAATTTCACTCCCCATGTGGGTCTCTAGTAAAAGAGATAACAGAATGACCTTCTATGAATGACTGAAATATCCTAGGTTCCTAACATCTCATGACAATGCTCAAAATTTCGCTTCCAGTGTATGTTAACAAAATCTAACAAGCATCCACACTCAAATAGACATTTATTTCTGCAATGTGTGATCGCACAGGTGCAAGTATTTATTTATATGTCCTCAACCCCCCCACACTGATGTATTGATTCCATATCCACAAATGCCTAAACAATTGCATGCACAAGAGCTTGCAGAAGATCCCCACGTCCTATCCAAATGAACTCAATGACTCATGTACACTTGCAAAGAAAGGTCAAATACATATGCATACAAATGAACACATGGCCACACATAAAGCACAACCTGCAGATATGCATGCTCATGTGCAGGCATGAACACTTCATGTTCATACTGCATGAGCAGTCATTTACATGATTGAAAAGTCATGCACATGATTATGCCCTATGGTGCATTCTTGTTTTAGAGAATTCATGCTTCTGTACCAGCATGTGCCTTTGGATCTATTTCATGTTGCATTTATATGTCGATTTTGTTTCCACATGAGAAATGTATGAAGCTTGCATGTGCAAACTTACTGGTCAACATGTTCATGCATATATTTGTGCTAGAGAATTCTATGTGTGTGCAGATACAACTGCAGCATGTATTACTTTCTATGCATTTACATGATTCAGGACAATTGTGAACGTGTACTTGTTTTCTTTGTGTTCCCCTGTGTATTCTTGCGTGTGTCTATATACTTGTACATGTTTCCCCATCGTAACTTTGTGACATGCTTCCATGCTTAGCTATGCAAACATTTCATGCTTGGGTGCACAAACATTTTTGCCTTCTTTGGGGAGGATGTGCACGTGTGCAGTTATATTTGCTGAGACAGTTTGATGTTATAGTTTGAGAGCCTTTTGGGGTAGGATACTAGTGAGGCCCACCAACTGGTGTCATGATTTGTGAAAATTAAAAGAGTCCCTTAGGTCAGTTCAAATAATCTCAAAATCACCACGTATAGTGTTTGGTTGGTTTGAGTAGTGTTTTAGTGATTTGAATGATAAAGGTGGTTTGTCTTTTGGTGTTCTTTTGGGTGTGGAAGTGATCGTTACGTTATTGGCTATGTGAACAGGTCTTGAGATATATGCCTTTTGTTTTTGCCTTCATTAGGAATATACTACTAGACATGCAATAAGAAGTGTTGCAGGGAACTTATATTGGTGTTGGGGTCCTTGACATAGTGGCTCAAAGATTTGGACAAAGCAAAATGTTTATAGTGTTTCAGATAGCTCTGTCAAATTGTCTGACACTTCAAGGAAATTCCTGTTGCATGTTGCAACACTTTGATGATGATATTTAGGTTGCACATTTTGATACTTATGCTTGGATGTTCTGTTGCTTCTTAGTAAGTGATGGGGCTTACTTCTGATACTTAGACAATAGGTTTGGCACTTCTTGGAATTAGTACCCTTTTGGTACTTCCTGTGACTTGTGGGACACTTCAAAAGGAAGTGTCACTGCATTAATATGCGGTGTTTTGGGCAGTGCCCAATGCCAGAAAGAATGTCAAGTTGGAACTTTCATGTAAGGTCAATTGGAACCTTGGGTCAATTTACCTAACGTTGCTTCTGAGATTATTTGGTGCTTTTTTGTTATTTTCCGGTTCAGTTGTCTCTGTTTTTGTTAAGGCATGCCGTTTTTCTCTATAGCCCTTGCCATTTTTAAAATTGGAGCTGGCATATTTTGTGTGTGGATTCTGGAGGGCTACACATCAAAAGTGTTATTGATTATGTGGGGATGCAGGTTAGAAGTTTTTTATTGTTATTGTTATATCTTTTGACATCCTGTCATATCTTTTTATGCCTTGTCCTAGTTAATGAAAAGGCAGGCCAAGGATGTGGACGATACTCGACCAAAGTTAAGTTTTTTATGTGCATATGTGTGTGCAGTGGGTTTTCTTCCTATGGATACATGTTGTAATTGTAATTTATCTATAAAAGAAACTAATTTGATGTTACAAGGAAATTTTACGATAGGGAGACAAGTCCTGATTTCATATGTAAGCCGCCTTCTCTTATTTCTTTTCATTTTTTGGATGGTCAAAGGAGTCAATGGATGCATTTTTGATTGCTGATGTATGTTTCTTAATCTAAATTCTGGTTTAATTTGTGTCGGATTTTATTCATTACTCTTGGACTTCAAAGCTGCACTCATCTCGGGCATCTGTCCCTATAAATATGGCATCTTATTAACTTCATTAGGAAAGGGTAACTATTGTGTTATGAGTATTTGTCTACCTCTGAGAGGCCCACACATTCTAGGTCAGTTATATTCACTTAGACTGGACACTTCACGATGAGCAAGTTGACCCCCTTTTCACTAATATTATCATTGCTGTTTCTCTTTAACTGCTTGCTTTTCTTATCATGTATAGGGAGATGCTGAACCATTACAAAGGAGTGGAATGTTTTTGGTGAATCAACCGCCACATCCTTTGATCAAGTTGCCTCATGAGAGGTGATCCTAGTTATGATTATTTTTCTTCAATACATGTCATATGGATAACTTGCATTGTTTTATGCGTCATTGTTTGACCTTGATATTTAGTTGTTTTATGTTTTTGTTGTTCATGGTGACCTTTTTTGGGGTTTCTAATTGATGTTTTGGTTTAATATTATGAAACAGCAGAGAATCTTTATCTGACAAACAATATGGTCCCTGTTTTGTAAACTGATTATGCTTTCTTTTGCCATCGATTTTAGTGCCCTTCGTACACTGTCATTATGACTAATGTATTAAGACCGGAGCAGAGGTCGAACCAGTGGAGGCACTAGAGCGCAAACCGGTTCACCAATCAGACCGTTCAAAATTAAAAAAAGAAAAAGAAAAGAGAAAATATGATAAATTGAGAAATAGAGAAAAGGGAAAAAAGTAAAAAATCTAAAAAATAGAAAAATTCAGAAAATTGTTGGTGACAATAAGAAAATTACACATTATAAGTGCACAAGATTAGAAGCCAAAATTACAATTTATGTAAATATAAAACATTGAATCCTGACTATGGAACACCTTCCATAGTTCAGCATTTTCCGTAGATGCATTTAAGAATTAAAAACCAAAAAATATAAATATTCAATTTTTTTATCAAAATAAAGGAAAACATATATGCACAAAGCCCTAACTATGGAACAATTTCCATATATCAGCATTCTCTGTAGTTCAGTTGAAGTTTTAAACAACTAACAATAAAATAAGAAAAGTAAATGAAGAAAAAACAAAAAAATTAAATAGCTTTATCCAACAAAATGCAAAAAATCCACCAAATAAGCAAATGCTTCCAACATTAAACTACCAAGCCTAAAACTTATTATATTGAATGCAAACAACCCATGGCAATGCTTTGACAAATAAGTCATTGTTTGCAAAACCCCTAAAACAGATGACAAAATTTTCCAACTTTTTAAAATCTAAATTAGAAAAATCAAGATATAAATCAAAGAACTTTACTTGGGGCTTCAAATAGAATGAATAGCCAGAATTCCCTCGAATATTCGCCACTATGTATCCACATCTAGGTTTTCAGGTATA